TAATAATATGTAAAAATTATATACAATTAATACATGTGCAGCCATCTTTAAAAATAAAGGTAAAAAAATATATTAGAATTCTCAAAAAAAAAAGTTTGAATTCCCAAAAAAAATGCAGTAGGCTTCTTGGAGAAGCTTTGAGAAAGTTAACGGAAAGATAACGGAGAAATGGACGGAAGTGACGGACGGTAAGCCCAACCAACAGAAGTTACAAAAAAGGGGCTATTTTCTTTCATTCTTATAGGTTAGGGGCTAAAACCGTTATATTATAAGGTGAGGGGCTAAAACCGTCCAACTTATCAAGGTAAGGGGCTATTCTTAGGCTTTTGCCCTCTGAAATGTCCCCTCCAATTGAGCTACGTCAACTCTTCATACACCCCGCCCCACCCTAGCCAAACCCCCAGAAACCTACTTTGCCCGCAACGGTCAGAACAGCTCTTTTTTTTTTTTTTTTGGCAATATCCTCGAGTCAACTTAGGCATACTTAGACGCAAATTTTTATTTAAACAGTTTAAAGACAAGCTACTTATATTAGATTTAAAAAATTTATAAAAAATTTATTTTTATTAATTTTTTTAAAAATTATAATCTAATTAATAAAATAAAAATAAATAATAAATAAATTTCTTTGCCAATTAAACTACAACTTCTCATCTACTCACTGTGTTTTACATACGGGTTGTGGATGCATTGTGTTTAATACGAAGTTGATACTGTCACAAGAAAGTTTGGTGACGCCAACGCTCAGCCTAAATAATTGGACTTAGTTTTTTACTTGTTAATTTAATAAATAGTATAATAATTGTATATTTTATATTAATTTAATGTAAAATCAATTTTTTCCCTCAAAATTATTTATAAACCATTAATTTTGCATCAAAATTATTTATAAACCATTAATTTTGCATCAAAATAATTGATTTGACAAACATCTTTAACTATACTAACAAAATTCTTCTAGTTGCTAACATGGTGGCACTCTAAACTTTTAAAAAATATTAAATATAGTAATATTTTTTTGGAACATTTTTGTCTTTAAAATTTAAATTTTATGTTGAATGTAGTGATTAATTAAGACAATAATTTTAATTTATATTAATTAAGATTTTAATTTAATTTACAATAATTAATATTATAATTTAAATTTTATTATTTCTTAAAATCTTAATTTTATTATTAAATTATACATTTTTTCATTATTTTGTACAAAAAAATAAAAGGTTTTAATTTTATTTTAACATTAATAACACATCCATGATTTTAGAACCACCATCATAATTCTACAATTAAAATTATTTTAGAATTTTCAACCGCCCAATTCACATTCATTGTATAAAACTATTACAAAATTTCAATCTCTTTCATATTTTCTTTTATTTTTTCGTAAATCAAAGAGCCAACACAACAAAGCAATTCTAACCGATGATTTCGAAGCAAACCCAGATTTCAATTATCTGCAAATGAGATTAATTAACAAATTTTCTATAAGAATTTCATTATAAAAAATCAAATCATAATTAAATCTAAAAAAAAATCAAATCCAATTTGCCTCAAATGATCCTGATTTACAAGTATAAGATCTACAAGAGAATCAACAATTGGTGAAAGCAAAGATTTTGGAGAAACATTCAACACCGTCAGCAACCACGCTGGGAAAAGTGGAGTGCGTTTTCTTGCTACTGATTCTGCTTGGATCTTTAGATTAGATGGAAATTAAGGGAGGGGTAGGAGAAAGAGCAGGGGAAGGAAGAACAAGAAGACAAGGAATCACCGATTAAACAGTAGTAGGCTGAGGCTGGCTTGCATCTCCGTTCTGATTGCTATTGGGGTTGAATTGGGATTTCAGAAAGTCAGCTGCACGCTTGACTTTAGACACAATTGAATCACGGATCTTATTATAGGATTCGCAAGCCAGCTTTACAAAGTACAAGAACCATACGATAAACAACGGCCATCCAACGTAAGGCTCGATGATCAAAAGCAGCAGGATCAGAGCTAGAGATCCGGTGAGGAGGGAGATTGTGCTCACAACCGCCAGCCAATCTGAACCGTCAGCTTCGAGTTGGATTTCGATTCCCAGTGATACGGCATAGATGACGATGACAATGAAAATTGCCAAGATGTGAAGCCTGTGTGTGTCGAACGGGGAGGCCTCCGCTGATTGGAATCTTAGCTGCAGGAAGGAACCGAATATAGAGGCCAGGATGTTTGAAAGCTTGAGTAATTGTCGGCTCAAACGTGCAATCGAAGAAAAGATAAGAAGATTAGAAAGTAATTTTCTTATAGAAATTAGAAAGTTAAATTTAAACATGAAAAAAA